GGATGGCAAATGACATCTCCACTCAGTTAGCTTGGTGGTCAGGTAATGACTGGACTGTGATCTCCTTAAACGCTATTGAACCAATAAATCTCCTAGTCTGTGCTAAGAAGCTCTATGTGTGTTGGGCATGACTCAGTACTCCATCAGTTTCCAACTTTGCTTAGCCTTCACTTCCTGTTTGTGCAGGGCTTCAAGAAGAGCCAGCACTGAGAGATTTAGAGCCTACCTCAGAGGTTAAGTTTTTTTCTGGGTACCCACAGAGCACTGTGCATTTGTGTGGCCTTCTTGATCCGTAGGAATATATCTGAACTTCTCAAAGGCTCCTATTTCATTTCCAGATTTTCCTTTTAATACTTGTCAATGCTGTGTCCTTTTTATAGATCATCCTGGTTTCACTTTACACATACTATTTTTTAAAAATTGAAAACAAATTTTCATAGCACTGGACTAAACAATGACAATAACAACAAATATGGCACATAGTCCCACAAGCTTAAATTGATAGTTTTCTAATTTATTTAGTATATTTTTAAGAAAACTCACTCTACTGGCTTTGAAAAATCACATACACTCATTATAATGAATTCACATAATGCAGCAAAGTACAAAGATGAAAATTTTTAAAAAATGATAATTGTAAAAATCTTATGTTCTGTAAATCAGTTTAACCTTTAAATTTATCAATGCTCATGACCAATACTTTCAGCATATCTCTTAATCCCTAATTTTTTAAATTTTGATTTAGCCCCTAAGTGGCTGTATTCCATTGTTAAGTTTTTTGGTTTTTTCAAGAAAAACTCAAGTTCTATCATGTTTGGGAATATTAGCTAGTTGCCTCAATATTTGATGGATATTTCACTGTATATAATAATCTCCTGTCGTGCTTTCATTTCTTCATAATACATATAGGTTATTGTCTTCTGGCATTGAATGAAGCTTTAGAGAAAACTAAGGTCAGTCTACTATTTTTCCTTTTGAATGTCTTCCTGCTCTGTCTGGATGGATACCAGAATTATGTCTTTTTCCTTAAGTTCAGTATCTTATCTAGATTATGTCTTGTGTGGAGCATTCTGTTTTCACATTTTTCCTGTAACACAATGTGCTCTTTCTTATATATAAGAATCAAGGTTTGTTTTTCATTCATTTGAGGACAATTTTCTGGTATAATTTAAATTTAATTTATATTACATTTATTATGACCACTTCAAAATACCTTATGTTAGATCATCTTATATCTTTTTTCTATACCTATCGACTTCTCTTTAGTTGCATTGATCTTTGTCTTTGTAAAATTTTCATTCACTTAGTGTCTGATGATTGCAAGATTTTTCTCCATGCCGGTAATTACAGTTTTAGCAATATCGGTTCTCATCTTTTCTGTTTCTAATTTGTTTATGTTTTAGTTTATTTCATAAAGTTTATAAACTACATTTTAATTTTATTTTCTTGTATTATCCTCTCATCTTTGAGCTTTCATTTCATTGATGTTAATCTCATCATTAAACTTTTGCTGTACTGAATATTCTTACTAAGAAATTTTATTGTTGCTCCAATTATGAAAAACATGTTTTCCCATTTTGGGTAGTTATTTTTCCCAGGCTAAATGCTTTGTTTGACTTTTACATGATATGTTTATTTGCCCTCTTTTTGACTCTAGAATGTTTACATAATTGCTGTGTTATTTCTGCTGTACAGAATTCTGCCGAGATATCCTATTTTCTCTGGTCATATGCAGATGGCTTCTTATTTCTGGGGTCAGTTTATTTCTATCTCTGAGCTAGAATCTGAGGCTTTAATATTTCTTGTCCTGCTCAATGCGGGTCAGTAGATACCTGTTTAACATATTTTCAGGGATGCTGCCATTTGTGATGCTACCATTTCATTATGTGGTTTCCAGCATTGCTGTGGTCAATAAGGTGAGATATAATGAATAATTTGTATCTGCTCTCAAGCACTTTGACATATAAATGACATACGTCATTTATGATAGATATCATTGATCAGAAATGGCATGTGACTCCAACATAACCAGAGGAGAAACTGGGAAATGTAGGGGTATTCTTAGAAAACTTGATCATTACTGTCTCTTCCATAGTGCTCAACATATAGTCAACATGTTTTTCTATATTTGTTAGCTTTCCTTTCTTTTTTGTTGGATTCAATGTCAGGTTTATCCCTCCCGTGACAGGACTATTATAAATTCTATGATTATATTCCACCAGTTTAGCTATCACAGCACTGAGAGAGTTTCTTTTTCTCAATAGCTCTTGCAGATTCCCAGAGAGAGATCTAACTGGTCTGACTTAGGTTCCATCTATATCCCTCAAATAATTACTGTGGTCATGGGAAAACAGTGTTGTGACTGGCCGAGCCTGTGTGTCTGTTGTCTCTGAAAGTGGGGCAGTTCTGTGTGGAATACAGCTTCTGTAAGGTTAATATGTTTGTAGAGGATGATTTGTCAAAAATTATTCAGAGGATTTTGAAATTCAGAGGAGCCCTTAATGGTAACCTTGCTGTTGAATCCTGTTACTCAAGTGTGATGAAAAGAAAAAAAATAAAATAAAATCAATAGGTCTATAAATAAGTCTTATCCCAAGTTAGCTTACTAACCTATTAACACAACAAAATGTCTATGTACATTTATATACTCTAAAGATATAAAGGTCCAAAAAGGTTTCACAGACAAACCTTTAAGTAATCCCAACTATTATGGATTGAATTGTGTCCTCACCAAAAAGAGATATTGGGCCAGGTACAGTGGCTCACGCCTGTAATCCTAGCACTTTGGGAGGCCAAGGTGGGTGGATCACCTGAGGTCAGGAGTTCAAAACCAGCCTGGCAACATGGTGAAACCCCGTCTCTACTAAAAATACAAAAATTAGCTGGGTGGGGTGGTGGGTGCCTGTAATCCCAGCTACTAGGGCAGCTGAGGCAGGAGAATTGCTTGAACTCAGGAGGCAGAGATTGCAGTGAGCCAAGATCATGCCATTGCACTCCAGCTTGCAGACAAGAGCGAGACTTTGTTTCTAAAAAAAAAAAAGTTAAAGTCCTAATGCCCAGGACCTCAGAATGTGATCTTATTTGGAAACAGGCTCATTGGAGATATAAAGAAGTCAAAATGATGCCATATTGGAGTGGGTGAACCCCTACTTCAATATGATTGGTGTCCTCATAAAAAGACTGTGATATGAAGATACAGACGTAGGGAGAATGTCATGTGACAGCAGAGGCAGAGATTGGAGTTACACAGCTGCAAACCAAGGAATGTGCGAGATCACTGACCACCAGAACACAAGAGGCATGGATTCTCCTACAGATGTCAGAGGAAGCGTGGGCCTGCCAACATTTTGATTTTAGACGTCTACCCTCCAGAATTGTGATGCAATAAATTGTTTTAAGCAACCCAGTTTGTGGTGCTTGTTACGGCAACCCTAGGAAAGTAATATACCAACTTTTATATATTTTTTATTCAAAGACATCACTATTGTGCCTTAGCAGCATCAGGAAATGAATGCCTAGTAGTTGTCTGCTTTAAAGTTCCTGTTAAATGCCAACAATGTTCATTAAGTTACTTCTATACAGTAGCACAGGTATACTGGTGATAAATTCTTCACACTATTTTATGTGAGAAAACGTTTATTTCACCTTCATTATGGTAAGATATTTCCACTGGGTATAGATTCTAGATGAACTGTTTTCTGTTTGCTTGTTTGTTGTTTCTTTTAGTACTTTAAAAATGCTGCCTCACAGTTTTCTAGCTTACATAGTCTCCAGCAAGAAATCATCTGTCATTCTTATCTTTCTTCTGTACATTATATGTCTTTTCTCTTTGGCTACTTTCAAGATGTTTATCTTTTTTACTGGTTTTAATCAATTTGATTACAGTGTATCATGGTGTCACTTTCTTCATGTTTCTTGTGCTTGGAGTATGTTGAGTTTCTAAAATCTGTTGGCTTATAGCTCTCATCAAATTTGAAAGAAAAATGTGGCCATTTTTTTTCAATTTTTTTTCTCTTCTTCACTCTTTCTTTGGGGATTATAATTACATGTATATTTGGCTGTTGAAATTGCCCAACAACTCAGTAACACTCTACATATTTTATTGAGTCATTTTTCTCTCTCGTTCTTTTTTGGATAATTTCTATTGCTGTCTTCAAGTTCACTAATCTTTTTTTCCTCTAATGTCTAATATACCATTAATCTTGTCAAGTGTATTTTTCATCTTTAGATCTTTAATTTAAACCTCTTTAATATTTTCCATATTGCTACTTAACATATTTGGTCTTTTCTTCAGCTTCTTGTACATGTTAAAGTAAGTTGCAATTGTTTTACTGGGGTTTTCCCCCTACCAGTTCTATCAGCCATGTCACTTCTGACTTGGTGTCTACTTGACTTTATTTCTTTTCATTATGGGTTTTTTTTTCCACTTTTCTGCATGCCTAATAATTTTTAATTTAATGCCAGGCAGATAAAAATACATTTTATCTTGTTTGGTGCTAGATATTTTTGTATTCCTATAAATATTTTTGACCTGTTTTAGGATGTATTAAGTTACTTGGAAAAGTTCAGTTCTTTTGGGTCTTACTCTTAGACTTTGTTAAGCAAGATTGGAGCAAGGTTTCATGTAGGGTTAATTTTTCCCCACTCAGGCAACCCATTCCAACTGGTGAAAACAGGAAATATTCCTTCCCTTCTGTGACCTCTAATCATTTTGAGTATTTTCAAAATTCTGATCTCAGGTATTAGTCTCACATGTGCTTTTTAAATTATCGGATAAATACTCAAGGTGGACCTTATGCAGATCAGATCTGTGGGGTTCTGTCTCTCTGCAGCTTTCTCCTCTCTGCTACTCTGCCCTGTGGATTCTAGCTGCCTTGGCTTTCTGGACCCCTACTTCCATCTTTGCAAATCATGGAGACTCCAGGTTCTGCCTGGTTCCCCCAACCTGTACACACTGTGGAAACTCCTAGGCAATAAGTCGGGGCTATTGCAGTACTCACCTTGTTTGCTTCCCATCTCTCAGGGATCACCATCCTTCATTGCCTCATATCCAATGCCTTGAAATGTTTTGAAAGATATCTTCTCAGAACAGGAATCTCTGAGGAAAAAGAAAAAAAATATTTTGTCCATTTTTTTGTTTGTTTCACATGTGGAAGGGTAAATCTATTTTTTTACTCCACTGTGTTTGGAGGTAAATTTAGAAAATATTTTTAATTTTGAAACATGAGTTAAATGTACTTTTCATAATTTTTCCTTTCATCCTTTTTGCCGTTTAGCTGCTACTCCTCATTTAAGAAGCCGTTAGCCATAAGTAATCACTATACCCTAAAGGGTCCTAGCAAATGTGAGTGAGGCCTTGCTTAACAGCAAAGAGTATGGACTAATTACTGAAGGCTGGTGAACGATATTACGGGACTCTCAGGGAATGATGCAAGAGCAGAACAGAAAGGACCTGGGGTCCACTCCTCATGACACCATAGCTTCACAAAACCCTTAGGACTTAGATGCACTGCAGCAAGAGAGGAAAATCCTTGAATTAAAGAGATTACATTTCTTCCAATGCAACAGAATACATTTAAATTATATAACTCTCTACATATAAAATATTGCACATCCTTGAGACAAATGGCATATTAGGAAAGAGGAGATGTTTGTTTTGGTGGGGGAAATGGGAGGATGATGATGTATAAATTTTTAGCCACCTTGGATTGAGGTGACAATGACTTATTAGAAATGGATATGGGTAAGAAGATATCAGGACTATTATGTAAATTTAGGATTCACATGGAAATTCCCATGGAAGTTAAAGAGGCCACCTGAGGAAATGAGTTTAGAGTGATAATTAAAAAAAAAAAAAAAGAAATGGTAGGAGGAAGTAAGGTGTGCCAGGAAGCGGAGAAAGAACATTCAAAGTAACAGGCATACAAAGCAAGTCAGGGTTTGCAGAACAGAGAGTTTCAAGAAGTGGGCTGTTGGTGGTATTTTGGGTATAGAGGGCATGTTATGTTAGGATGGAAAATTCCCAGCATGCATGCTGACACTCCTACCTACTGCATCCTTAGCAGCCAGGATTGCACTACAATGGTATTCCTTGTAATTGGGCCCAGGCATATCCTCACAAGTCTTCTCAAGAAGGTTTTCCAAGTTTGCAAGATAAGACTTGTTTAGTCTATTGGATCTAATGTTAGGGACTCTGACTTGTAACTTGAACTTGGCCCCGTGATTCTTTTCTTTCATACTTACACCTTGCCTGCTAGCCAAGCCAAATGTACGTCCAGTCCCTTTGCGTCTATTATAGCAACTTGAAATGTCTCAATTTACAATCATGTCTATTTGTATAATGCTTCACCATTTACAAAACATGGTTGTATCTTATATAGATTTCAAAATGGAAATGATGGGATGAGCAAAAATTATAGTCATAACTTGTGGCTCATATAACTGAGAATAACAGGGGTTAAGTGATTTTCTCAACACTGTAATTACTCAACTACTAGTTGTAATTCTCAACTGCTAATTAGCAAAATCAAGGGAAAACAAATAAATATATCTCTGACTCCAAGTTGTACTCCATTTCAGTTTAACTGGTTTTCCTCATTGTGTGGATAAGAGTTCTATTTTTTCATTCTCTACTTTTCACCTTGAGTTCTGTAACATAGGTAAGGCACAATTGCTTTGCCTACCTGTGAAGGAAGATCAAATTATTCAGAGGGCTACTTGTGAAAATCACTGGATTACTCATTGTCTGTACATTTGCTATTTTATGTAATTTACTTCTTATAGCAATGCTTTAAGGTAAATATTATATTATTTTATGCATGGGAAAACAGAAGCTTGGAAAGTCCAAATAACCTACCCAAGATGAGACAGTTGGTTGGTGGGGCTGGAATTCTAACCATCACACCTCGATGAACTAATTCTATTAGGCCTTTCCAGGGCATCAGTCTCTCTAGAACTAAAACTCTACTGAGAGCTATTTGTTCCTTTAGTTATTTATGCCTCAGACATTTATTTGGACACTCAGACCCCATGCAAGGAACCATGAAAGGTCCAATGGATAAAAGAATGAATGTTTGGGCCTTCTGTGAGTTCATGGTCCACACACTGTCCTCTGTCTGAGACCCACACACCTAGACCACTATGGTTCCTTGACATGCAAAGCAGTTCATTATTCCTGGAAAAGCCAAAGTGGCTTTTGTTGTTTCATAATTAATCCTGGGACCTTGATTCTTCACTATTTTATATTGCTCTCAATTTGGAGCCTCTATGGATAAGGGCAGAATCTGGAGAGCACCAAACCTTTTAGCAGCCTCCTCTTTGCTGGCATAAAAATGTCCTTATTTCACTGGTGCAAATTTTGTCCCTTGAGGGTAATGTCTGGGCAAACTGACAATGCGTGGGTGGTTATCATCACCATCTGCATTTTGCCTTGTAGGGAATCTTAGAGTAGCACCAGCTGTTATATATGATTTTGGGAAGTTCTGAGTCCTCAAGGAAAAACACAACATAAGGACAAAATCCTCTTTGCTATAAAGAGAATACAAGTGTATAGAACTTGTATAGAACCTGGGGGTGGAGTGAAGGGCAAAGTGATTTCTGCATTTGTTATAGCTAGAGTTTGCTTTTGTGAATACCTAGGTACTGGCAAGACACGAGAAATGCATGTAAATTCAGAACATAAAGTCATGAAACTTGTATTTATGCTTGGCTGGTGGGAAAATGTCATCACAGTGGACATTCAAACTTTCTACCAAAGTTTCAGAAGAGAAGAGTAAACACACAATTCCCAGGGTCTGGGGTGCAGTCCTAGAAAGGGGCATTTATTTTTAGATTCCTGGTTTATCATAAAAATCCATGATGTATCTGTGTCTGTTTAACTATGAAGATAATGCTTTGCCACCAAACTCCTGGAAAAATAGATGCCCTAGGAAGACATGATGTTTGTCCTGGGGCTTTGCTTACTTTCTTGTGCATCTTGTATATATGCCCTAGTTTGGTTAGAATTAAGGTACACTGAGAAGCAGATATTTGAGGGATAAAGGTATGGCTTACTTTTTCTTTTCTGATACAAGTTAAAGAAAGTAAAATGTGGTAACCATTTTTGCCTGACAGTTCATCACTATAGACCTTCAGGCCTCCCAAGGGTGAAGGGTCAAATTAGAGGAGACCTAATTGCTCAGGTTTGTTTCATTCCAAGTTCACCCTGGGATAAGGACTTAGCTTTGAGAAAGGTTTTGGAGGTCATTTATCTTACCTCTCCAGCTTGGTATTTAAAGGCTTCAAGATATTGTGAATGAAAACCATTTTTAGGAGCAGTACTCTGTTTGACAAGACAATCTCCAATGTCATCCCCATTTGGAACTGAGCCACTCTGTAGTCCTTGGGATCACCTCACTGTCACAGGGGCTCTTGCAGGCCTAATGGAGCTTATTTAAAATGGAACCAGTTCTTACAGATCTGAGGGTTTATAATTATATCTGTTAAAGAAAGTGCTTTGAACTCAACAGGGGTGTTGATAGAGGATTAGTTGGTTAATTCCATGAGAAACTTTGAAAACAAGAATTTATCACCATTTTTAAATTTGCATGTGGACATTTAAAGAAATGCTCTATAGCTGTGTGCATAATGCCAGAATATGATTCAATAAAAATAACTTACAGAGAACCTTGAAAGGTGAAGAAACTTTCTTTTGACCCTTACATATTACTAAAGAACATTTAAGCTTATTAGTTATTTAGCAGATTATATTTCAATTTGCTATAATCTATTTTGTGAACATTAATCAAAAAATATCTAGTAATTGACCTGTACAAAATTACAGACTATCCAAAGTATACAAAGGTTTAAGGCTGTCCCAAAACTCAAGAAATTAACAGTTTATGAAGTTGGGGAAAAATCATTATCTCAGTATTTCCAGAGGTCATATGTTCACAGCTAGTTCTATGTTCTGACATAATCCTTCAATGTCTCTTTAAATTATATCTTCCCAAATTTTCCCAGTTAGAAATAATCCCTCTCCCTCTTCCCACTCTTTCACTCTCTCTCTTTCTCCTCCAGATCCCCCATAGCATTTTGCTTGTATGAATATTATAGCACTTACTATTCTCATCACAGTCTTTAGTATAACAAGAGCCAAACTGTGGCTTCTACATGCCAAGGGCTCTATCTTAATTAAAAACAACAGCAACTTCCATTTATGAAGAAGATTTTATGTGTCAAATGCTAAGCCAAATGTTTAATCTTCAAAATAATTTTATAAAATAGGTATTATTACTGTTATTTCAGAGGTAAGGCGATTGAGGATTAATGATGCTATATAACCTGCTCAAGATCACAGATTTGGAAGGTAGGAGTGGCGAAGTACAAATGCAGGACTCCTAACTTTTGAGTCCTTGCACCAATTGGGACTTCATACCAGCTTTCAACATGCCACATTTACTCTTGTTTTTCTCCCACCCTCACATCTCGCACTTGCCACAGTGCTCTGATGGATGCCCCATAACTCATTTAGTTGAATGAACATGAAAGATAATACATTGAATGTAGCCATTTACGTACAACGAGCTTCTTACAACGTAAACTGTATGCAGTTGGCTCATTTGCCAATACAAAAGACGGACCAGAAACAAAATCCTGATCTCTTGCTGCTTTAGCCCATTTTTCACAGCTATAACAGAATACAACACCCTGGGTAATTTATAATGAATAGAAACTGACTGGCTCACAGCTCTAGAGGCTGGAAAGTCCAAGATCAATGGGCTGACATCTTGTAAGAACCTTCTTGCTGTGTCATCTCATGATGGAACGGCAAAGAGACGGCATGAGAGAGGAGAGCAAAAGGAGATAAGTTTGTCTTTTAATAAAGGGTACACTCCCATGATAATATAATTCATTCATTCATGAGTGCCGTATCCCCATGATCCAAACATCTCCCTTTGGCCCCCCCCTCCCAACACAACTGCATTAGAAAGCAAGTTTCCAACACATAAACTTTGTGGGATACATTTAAACCATAGAAGTTGCTCTTTTCTCCTGGAAGAACCCTGTGTTCAACTTTGGCCATGATCTCTGGTTTTCTAACCCCTTTTAGCAGCCAGA